TATGTCAGGAGCCGTTGATGCCAGTGTCACCGGAGTGGATGCTCGCCTGACTCGGGGTTCCTTCCTGACGGCATTGTCGTTTTCGCTGGGGCTTTACCGCGCAATCAGCAGCTGAGGCTATAGGCGACTGTCGTCTGCCTTTCACCGCGGCAGATACGGAGGAAACGGCAGGAGTCGAACCTTGTACCTCTGGTTCACCATACGCCAACCGGGCCCTTCCTGGCCGGCGGGACGGCGTCGGCTGCAGGCATTAGTCGCGCCTGAAGCGGCAGGGAGCACGCTAGAGTAGGCGACTGGGGTTGTCTTCTCGCCACAGCCCGCGGGACCATTGTCGCTTCCCGAGACCCGTGAACATAATGCTTTCGGGGTACCACTCATGCTGGCCGCAGGCAGAACCATCAACAGAGAACTTTGGGGACTGGTTTGGTGTTTATGGTCGCCGATCGATGCGTCAGATGTGATGACCAGCCGTCTCCCAGCTGGCGAGGGCGTCAAGTCTGTTGGATGCACACGCTGACGCTAGCCGCGTGGCCACGCATTGCGACGGGTCCTTCGGGGGGGTGCTGCCTCTTATGCAACGTTGAGGGACGCAGAACCGAAGAATGATGAATAACACAAAACTTGCGGTATATCCATATCATATACTTTGCTGTATATACATTTCCTTGAGAGTACACGCAATTTGGCATACAAAAGCCACGAAGAACAAACACACGGCTCAACTGATGCGCCAATAATTACATATATAAAAATATTACACGAGTCATTTGGTTAAATATATAAACATATATCAGCAGACTCGAACTCATTTTAAGCGCAAAAGCGTTTCAGTTTGTGACTACCCCAATGCTGCAAACCACTAAACCAGGTCTGCAGAAACCCAGCACACACTACCACCGGCCAAATCAAAATCAGCACGCTGACACGAGCTGGGGTTAGTAAGCGATCCCCGCCGCCCCGCCCAGATATGCCATGCCCGCACGCGAGAGTTCGTACCCTAGCCAAAACGGCAACCCTGGCCCACCGCTGGGAGGGACTGGTGTCCACACAGCACGTCCACACTAACGCTGTACCATCAACGGACTGACCTCGTCGCAAACGCCACTCGGACGCCAAAGCTCGCCGCCCGTCATCCAGAACACCGTACGCCATGCTGCAAGTGACGCAGCTCTCGGCGGCGTGGGGAGGGGAGGACACGGGCGTGACACGGGCGTACCGCTCCACCCGGCCGGCCGAGGCGAGCAGGCGGGCTGACCGCTAGCATGGGGAGGGAGGGGGAGGACACGGGCGTGACGGGCGTACCGCTCCACCCGGCCGGCCCAGGCGAGCAGGCGGGCTAACCGCTAGCATGGGGAGGGGAGGGGGAGGACACGGGCGTGACGCGGGCGTGCCGCTCCACCCGGCCGGCCGAGGCGAGCAGGCGGGCTGACCGCTAGCATGGGGAGGGGAGGGGGCGGACACCGGACAACAGGACCGTGGGGGTCACGCGGACGGAGGTGCAGCACTACGAGGGCTGTATGGAGGGCCGCTGGCGGAAGCGGTGAGACTGCTCCGAGCGGAGCGAAACAGACGGCGCTGCCACCCACATGAGCGGGGCGGAGGGAGCGGCGGCAGGAGGGAAACGGAGACACGGCGTGCTAGAAGCAGCGGTGCCGGGGAAACCGCAGAACAGAGGGCGGGGAATCGCAGGGGAAAGAACAGCAAAACCGGCGGGAGGCAATAGCTCGGAGGTGTGGTGCGCCGCTGTAGCGGACAGCGTGAGGGAGCAGTGTTCAGAAGGAGGCGTGACCGCCCACAGCCAGACGACGTGACGTGCACCGGCCGTCCCGGCGGCACGCCACAGGGCGGGTCGCGCTGGAGCCGCGGGAGCGGCGGCGCCGCTCCGGCGCAGCCCACGCGCCGCACTAGGTGGCCGTGAGCTCCAGCAGGCTCGAAATGGCGGCCGACTTGTCTCGCCACGCGTTTCCAGCACCGAGCGGATGATCTCGTCGTCCATGGCCGGGAACATCTCCTTCAGCTGAAGCGGCAGCACGTGGTGGCGTCAGGTGACGGGCAGAATATCCAAAAAAGTCGCGCTGACGTTGCAAAATGTGACCCGAAGGACGGGGGACATTTGCGAGCTGCATTTGTGGATGGCTATCAACATGTGTGTGTAGTTTAATGAAGTCCACGTTCTGCCAAATGAGTGAGGTGGCCAAACCGCGACGGGGCAGAACATAACAAGCAGTCACTGGCTTTCAAATGAGTTGGGTACATACTGGTACAGATCAGCGGAGCGCAAGTCAACTACATCAAAGAGGTCATGCACCGCCGACCAGCGCTTAGAACTGTAAAAGGCACCTTGACTGAAGACCAATTGAATGTGGTAAAGTCGGCAACCCGCTCCATCTAACGCGCCTGCGTTAGCCAACGCGCGTCTGGGAAACCAGAGATAAGGGTTCGATTCCCGCGGTGCCCAGCCTTCTTGCCAGGGTGAAGAGGCAGGCGGCCGCCATAGAGCCTCAGCAGCTGAATGCAAGGCCCCAATGACAACGGCAACCTTCTCACGTCAGCTGATTCTTTGGTCGAAGTACACTTTTCAACAGTTGTCAACCCAATTGCTTTAAACAATTCAACTAACAGCGGAATAAAAAACCGCAAGAACAACACGCTGAAAACCCGCGAGACAAGACAGACCCAGACCCATCCCGTCCCAATGATGTAGGTGACGCGCCGCACGCCAGCGCCACCTATTCCACCAGTTCCGGCCCGCCGCCACAGCACGGCGCCACCACTCCCACCTGCGCGACGTCCTCTGGCTTGACGGCCGGCTGCTGCGGTTGCGGCTGCGGATGGGGCCGGCTGCTGCGGCGGCGGCGCCGCGTACATGGGTACGCCGATGGTGGGCATGAGGCCGAGGTAGGCCTGCGGAGCCATCATCATCGGCACCGAGCCCGGTGCCGGCATCGGCATCTCCCCCGTCAGCGGCTGCGGGGCGGGCGCGACGGCAGCCGTTAGACGGGTGGTGGGGGCGGGAGACAAACGACACACGCGCTGGTAAAGGCGTGACCGATGACTCAGGGCCTGCCACAGTCGACAGAGCGGTCCATTCTCATCACGCGGCCTGGAGGACGAGACACTGCACAACAGCTGAGGCCTGGAAACTCTTCATTATATATATATATATATATATATATATATATATATATATATATATATATATATGTATAACCAAGCCAACAACGGAAATTTTTCGCATGCTAAAATGTTCACTACCAGAGCTGACACGTCAAAGGCGGCTGCATCCGCACCATGTCACTATCAGCAGCGGATAGAGGGTAGGCTCGAGGACCAAGGGCGGTGTCGCCACTTGCTGCCTGTCTACCACCACCAGCGTGCGGCTGGCGCATAACACAGCGATCAGTCGCGACAGGACGCAACATTTAATGTATGTGACCGACGATGCAAAAGGCTGGTCACAAACATAAGCAGCTGAAATGTTTTTTGGCAGAAAGGTACGTGCCCAATACCTCCCCGCGCTAGATCGACCCATTCTACTCGAAACCAATTCCGTAGACGCTACACATTGATATGGTTCTGTTTTTTTTTCAGAAAGCAGCTTCGGTATGCCGTTGGTGCCGTGTCTGAGGTCCCTGAACAACCTCGGCTTCCAGCTGGAGGTCATCGTTTCCAGTCAAGCCACTGAGTGTTACATTTCAGCGCGAGGAGCCGCGCGCTTAAAAGGCAGACCCTTCAGATAGCTCATTAATAGATGACTTCGCCGCGGATCTACACTTCTAAGGTAGTTCACATCAAGGCCTTTAACGCCACCGTTCATCTAATGCTGAAAATTACCATGTACCCGGAGTCAGAACAAGGACGGAGCTCATCCCTTCCTTTACGTCCTAAAAGCAGTATTGTTCCAGCCGGATACTCTGCAGATCAGCTATGGCCGCGTGATCCCATTCCAGGACTGCCAGCGACAATAGCGCCATTGATGTGTCCACGGCGTGAACCCATAAACCAGACGGCCACAAACAGTGGATGATAGCCAATATCCCTGCCGTGTGGAAGGGTTGTTTAGGACGGCATGGGCCAAGCGGGGAGAGAGCTTATGATGAGCGGGCCACAGACGAGAGAGTCATCACCTTAACTAACAGCACGTCTTGCGGCTCCAGTGGCCCGGCCAGTGACGCTTCTGATATCATTACATCTTTGCACCCACTGACCACAGGCCAAAAACTGGCAAAAGCCAATGTTTGGAAACGTAATCGAATCGGCAACCTGAAAAATATTACACCTGAAATACACCCTTTGATGATTACGGTGGCCAAGATTTTATTTACGACGATTATTATTTACGACTTTGGATTAAGACGACTTTGGTGGTGACCAACTTGGATTAAAATGATTGCATTAAAGATTGCATTAAATATCGCATTAAATATCTGATAAGATTGCATTAAATATCTGCATTAAATATCTAAATTAAATATTGCATAAATATTAATATCTGATAAGAGGATTGCATTAAAATGCAATCTTCCACGGCGGATGACGTGTGTTACCTCAGGTCGACAGGCATTCAGGCAGTGACGTATGACCAGAGATTGAACAATCCCGTGACACCGCAACCCAGCCATCGGCATGACATTTTCAATCCACACGGTCAGTCGAGCACATCATTGTTTGCATTCCATTAGGGCATCGGAAAAACATGTCAGTAAATCCCCGGTAAGTTGTCCAGGCGTTCACACGGTACGGTTGGTCAGCCAGATCACTGCCTGCCAATATGCTGGCTCGCCAAGCAGAAAGGTCGCCAACCCAATCCGGCAGTCTGAAGTACCCAGCGATAAGAAATGATAAACCAAACAAAACCAGACAGGCCTCATTACGCGCCGTCCTATTCCGTGTTTGTGCGCGGGCCGTCCACGTCGCTACAATGGAGCGGGCTGGACGGACCCGAGCTGACGCCGGGCACATAATTTGGTGTGTTTTCCACGAGCTGACTCAGAGCAACGCCGCCTTAGTGGACGACCCCGTGACGTCAGGCGAAGTGAAGAGGGGCAGCGACATCCACGTAACGCCTCACAGAGAGGTCCAGGCACGACAGTCTCACCCTGGTCAGCATCAGAGGTGTCTTGGCACGACAGTCTCCCCCCGGTCAGCATCAGAGGCGTCTTGGCACGACAGTCTCACCCCGTTCAACATCAGACGTGTCTTGGCACGACAGTCTCACCCCGGTCAGCAGCAGGAGTGTCTTGGCACGACAGTCTCACCCCGGTCAGCATCAGAGGCGTCTTGGCACGACAGTCTCACCCCGTTCAGCATCAGACGTGTCTTGGCACGACAGTCTCACCCCGGTCAGCATCAGAAGTGTCTAAGCACGACAGTCCCACCCCGGCCAGAATCAAGGCCCCTGAGAAGGACCCGCTAAATGCCTGTTTTTATCTGCGCTTATCTTCCGGATAAAATATCGGTGATGTTTTTCCTTTCACTCCGCCCCTGCTTACTTTGCGCCATTTTGCATCTCTGTCACGCACCGGACGACGCTTTAAATATACTCTTCCCGCTTATTCAGCCGTGAGGCGTCGCTCGGCGGCGAGGAGCCGGTGGCGCTGTGTCCTGATCGGCCGGGCGGCGCGCCCCGCGAGACGGCCAGCTGCCGCTGTCTGTTCCCGCGGACAGGGCACGCCAGCCCTGCCCGGCTGACATCATGCATCGAAATACAGCAGTTTACACGGTTACAGTCAGTTATTTGACACCACAAATACCGCAAAAACAGCTTGGATAGCTTCTGTGGTTGACCCAGTGTCCACGCCACAAGGTACGCTTAAGGAGGCATCAGATTGCAGCACCAGCGCAACAGCCGGGTCATGCCATTACATCTATTCAAACCCCCCCCCCCCCCCACCGCGGCATCATGGGGGCCGTCATGACACTGCACGCCAATCGGCGCCTCGCGAGCGCCTTAACAGGATCCGCGACGACGAACCGATCCGAAAGGTCACCGATTGTAAACGGACGCGGTGTAAGCGGACGGCCGAGCCGCTACCACCGGGCGCACAACACTGCATTAGCCGCCTGCCCATATCTCACTGCAAGGGCGTTCAGCGCGCCATGTCCAGCGCAGCGCCAGCGGCAGGTACAAACACCTGGCATCGATGCACCATTAGCGGCGCCCTGCAGCCGGCGCGCTAAAACGCTTTCCAATCAAGCCAGTCGGCCCGGCTTCGATCGTACATGGCACAGAGGGCGAGGCCGCACCGCCGCCGCGAATGGCGGCGGACTGAGAGCTGCGCGAAATGCAAAGCATTCAAGGGCGTTGTACCTCTTGCTCCCTCCTCCCCCCCCCCCCCCCCCCCGTCGCTGGAAACGGTAACTAAGGACGTTGGTCATTACCGAACGTACCGACGCCTGCAGCGAAACTGAAGCGTAAGTATACACCGATGAAACACAAAACACGGCGGGAAGCTGCCCGGTCCACCCGGCGCTTCAGGGCTCCCCTGTTGCCCGCTCCTCACTGACGCAATGTGCAACACAGGCACCGAAAACAGTTCGTTCAGACGTGAGACCGCGTGTTTGCCAAGGGCTCAGGGAGCAATGAGCATCCCAGCTGATGGGCATCCCATCCCAGCGTAACAGCCCAACCGGCACGGTGGAGGATGATAAGTACGTGCTTGGCTCCGCTGTCGTTTACACAGCCACGTTACCCGGCGTCTGCGCTGCCGTTCTCCCCGAGCGAAGACCCCTCCCCACCCCCGTCACCCCGCGCCGATGCTGCGGTCCTCCCCGCGCGGAGACTCCTCTCCACCGCGCGGGAGACGAGCTCCGGTTGCGTATCTACCCATGGGCGGGCGGGAAGCAAGCACGCGCAGCAGCGGGCGGGCTACCTTGTCACACCGTGCTGCCAGCACGGAGTCGGGCGCGGGCCGGCGGACGCCGCCCGTCGACATCCACACGGATGCCGACAGTGTCCGCCACCGAACCGATGCCCGTGCAGTTCACGCTCACCACGGAGGGCCGTCGCAAACGGGTGACGTCACAGGACTGCCACGGGTACCCACACCAACCAGAGGTTTGCCAGCCACATGTTCATTTCATGATAGGTCCGCCAGCCGCAAGAACATCCCATCAGAGGTTTGCCAGCCGCACGTACATTTCATCAGAGGTTCGCAAGCCGCACATATATATCATCTGCGGTTTGCCAGCCGCAACACCTAGCCGTTCACTGCCGGCATCCTCCTGCGGGCAGTATTTGTGAATGGCATGACAGCATCCTTGTAACGCGGGCGTTATCGCTCATGCAAGATATGGAAATATGCGGAAAAACAACACATTGGAAGTGGGCATGGAATAAATAATCTGTTACGATTAAAAAATGTGATCAACGTTCTTGCGACGACAAAACACGCAGCGATCAGTGAAACACTGCACTGACATATTCCTCGCAAATCAACGGGTAAGTCCCGCAAATTTGCTTTGGCTTGAATAACCCTGAAACTTTTGGCTTGAATAACTTCTGTTCGCTCGGGCTTGACTCCCCGGCCAATCTGAATACATCTGGAAACTATCTGTCTTCCATTACATACGAAATTGCGTTGCGAAACGAGGGCTGTTGGAGACGCCCAAAGTGGATGAGCGCAGCAGCCAAGCTGTGCACCCCACACGTCTTACCACCGCTGGCTGGGGACGGACGTTCCAGTCATGGCAAGCTCCCCTCCCCCTCGGGCACCTGTAACGCTGAGCGCGGCGTGCTTATGATTATAACACCGCACAGATCTCACCGCCTTCTCGCTGGGATCGGTCCGTCCAAGTCATACCGAGTGCACACACACGCTGCTACCTGGTCTGTTACAAATCTGCGCATTATACTTAGGTTTCCAAAAACCTGGCAAGCCGCCAGTCACACGGGGCAATGCGTCAGCGTCAGGTGATGCGTCAGGTGATGCTAGTCGGTGGCGCCGGCCGCCGGCCGCGCCGCCGGACACCGGTCGCGTGTCACGAGCTGCCGACAGGCGGCCGCGCCTGGCCGGAGAGCGGGCCAGGGCGGTCTGCTCCGCGGTCGGCCAGCCACACGCTGACGAAACCGGCGCGGCAAAGTTGGCCGGGCCGGCCGGCTCGAAACTCCGCCGTCCGAGCGACCGCCTGCGACGGCCCGACGTCAATTAACCAGCTCGGCGAATCGGCTCGGCGGTGGCGGCGGCGTCCCGGCGTCAGCGGGCGACCCCGGTCGGGGAAACACACCGCCTCGCGAGCGCCGAGAGTTGTCCACTGCGCGATACTGGCGAGAGCTGATCCGGACGAAATGATTCGCTGTGTGAGTGTGTGAGGATTGGCTACGTGTGTGGCGTTCTCAGGCTGCGAGCCGCTAGGAAACATACGACACCAATGTGACAGCCTGCCATTTCGAAAAAAACTGGCCAAAACCAGAGCTCACATGCTGCGACTCGCAACTGTCACACGGCCTCCCCCCAGCGGGGGAGTAGCGCCCAGCGCCGGCCGGTGCCGGCAGCCAGAGCAGGCACGTGCTGCCCGAGTGGCTCGGATGAGGGAGCGGCGAGTCAGGGCGGTCATTACGGCCGGCTCGTTAGCGTGATGAGACGATCGTCCGGCGTCGCCGGCGCTGATTGGAACATTCCCGGTCAAACGGAGCCGGCGCGACGTCAAGCGACGCCCGTCCGCCGGCCGGCGAGCGAGCCTGCACGGACCAAATCAGGCGAGGCACGCACGCGCGGCTTCTGACTGCGGTCTCCGTCAGTTAATGAGGTTCATTTGCCGGTCACCAGAGCGAAATCTAACCGACATTGATAGCATGGGGGTGACTGAACTTGTTACAAGGCATCCAGGTTAAGAATAGCGCGCGTATGCACATCTGAACACGGCATGTCGGAACGGACCAGCGTCCCCGACCAGCCGCCGGACTCAGTAGCAGTCATCCACACATCACCAGAAACGTTTTCGTCCACGGATACCGCAGACAGCGGCTGTTTCCGGGGCATTGTGACATACTACGTCGATGTGACCCAGTCCGACAACAAAATCGTACGGCTTCCCGAAACACACGCACCGTGAGCGTGTGCCGGTGTCGACCCAAGACACCACCCCCGGCCCAGCGTTCTAGCACAGCGAATGGCCGACTGGCTGACTTGAACTCAGTAGCCCGATTTCTGGGCATGGCAGCACGTTTGAGCCGCAGTATTGCCAGCAAATTTTGCAGCTAATTCACCGGGCCAAGACCACGCGGCATGGCGTCGGCGATAAACCGGCATCAGACGGGTTCTTCACAGGACGAAATAGTTACAACAGACGAGGTAGAATTGTTCCACGATATACCCGCAGCATGGACGGCAGATCTCGTCCTCCAAGTCCCCTCAAAGAGCCCCAATCTGCACATTACACGCCACGCGAGCGGGCCGGACGCCGGCAGACCCGCCGCGCCCAGCCGAGCGGCAGTGCGAGCCGTCCCAGCACGCGGTGTAACAGCCCCGTGACGGCCCTGCGAGTCGACCCCGGCCGCAGCGCGGCGGCCATTTGTTCCGCGTGGTAGAGGCGCCGCCGCACGGCCCGCCGACGCGGCCCCAGCATGACAGACTGGCCAGTAAAGCCCACAGAGCCTCACACAATGGCCGGCCGGAAGCTGGCGCGGCTTCATGGTGCGGAGCTCGACAGCCGCCATCGACTCCAGTGCTGGCTAATGGCAGCGTAATGGATGCCGGGCCGAACAAAGTTCAGTACACAACAATGCAGCATTCAACTAAAATACACTAGACGTGCGAAGTAGGCTAGAGTTCTACTAAAAACGGTTCTACATTTCTAGGCTAGCTTGAACTAAATATCTGGCAGCTGGTAACGTGGCGTCGCGTATGTGTCACAATAGTTCATGTATGTGTCACAAACGTCGCGTATGTGTCACAATAGTTCATGTATGTGTCACAAACGTCGCGTATGTGTCACAAACTTAATGCAAGTTGTGCCCAGACTTTTTGCAGGAAACTTTCAAGGAGCTATACACTACAAACAAATGTTGTACAAATGTCTTTTGAACGCCCTGTATTCGAACAAACGACATTTCGATTGACCACCCGGCACGTTACCGATTGAGCCGCTGAGACCTATGGATATTCCCGAAAGTTTACAAAAATTCAAAGCATAACGCGCATGAAAACTAGGCCCGTTCGCCGTGGGGGTTTGGCTTCTGCAAACCACCAGCAATGGATCGGCTCAGGGCAACTAAACAATCTTCCGCTCAGTGTCGGGTGCATCGACGTTGACCTGACAATTCGGTTTATAGCTCTGCGACAAACAGATCTTAACACAAGTCCCCAATGGGGTAGCGCGAACAGTACGCCGTCGAGTTGTTACCAACGTACTTCGGTGGGGGCTGGGCAAATGGGGCCACGTCCGTTCCGCTGAGTGAGATGCTCATGGGAACTACCCCATAATCAGCTTTATCAATCACAGTGCACGTAATGCGCTTCCCCGCCAATGAAAAGAAATGTGTCCAACTTGTGGGGATATCGATTCCGGATGGGCTCACTACCCTGAATAAGTGATCAACGGCTGGTCGCTATCGATGTCGGAGAATAAATAATTCGCAAGACACCGTTGGTGTGTGATCGCGCCTCGGACGCCATGCCAAGCACAAATCAACAAGTATGACTACTAGTTTGGGCTTTCAGGCGCTGCGACAGCGCGTCGCGCAGGGTTAGCCAGCGGCGGGGCCGACGATGCAGGCCGTGACAGACTCGATCAAGCCCGCACTTAACTCGATCAAGCCCGCACTAAACTCGATCAAGCCCACACTAAACTCGATCAAGCCCACACTAGACCCCATCAAGCCCACACTAGACTCGATCAAGCCCACACTAGACTCGATCAAGCCCACACTAGACTCGATCAAGCCCACACTAGACTCGATCAAGCCCACACTTCCCCGTCCAGTCATGGAGCCCATCGGCGCTGCACCGCGTGAATCGTGGCACGGCCGAACTCGGCTGCTCGCCGTGCTACCTCCAGCCGCGAGGCGCAGCCACTGACCGTGTAGTTCATAATCAGGTTGATCATGCCCTCCTTGCCCTCGCCCTGCTTGCCGGACAGCGGATGCCAGTCGTCGGAGGTTTCGCCGCCTTGCAGCACCGACTCAGGGATCTGTGGCACACGGGTCAGGCGCCGGGGTCAAGGTCAGCGCGAGACACAGACGCGGACGGAGTCGCTCAGGACTGGGGGGCGGGGTAACGTCAGCTCCAAACCGCCCTCCATAGACGCTACGACTGATCAGGGAGCAGACAGAGCACGCAGATGGCAACTGGTTGCGCCAGATAACCAAACAGGGGTGCATCAAAAGAGCCCGACACTGGACACCTGTCTGCGGAGTGATCGCGTCAGGGTGGACAGCGTTACCGGCACCAACCACTGGGACCAATGCTCTTGACATATTGGGATCCGCTCAGTGAATATCAAAGCACATGGGAACAGTTCCAGCAAGAAAATACACATGTCCAAGCATCCTAATGCAAGCAACGTTTAAGGACACTTTTTACAAGCCACTACCAATGGTGTGAAAGGGTGGCTTTCGCTTCGAAGCGCCTATTAAGCTTTTTGAGAGCACCTGCTGTTAAGCTAAGCTTGTTGCTTGTACCCAAGAGCAGCCGGCAAAGCTGAGTGGTCAAGCTGTTGGTTGCTTCGTCGTCGTCGTCGTCAGGTCGTTTCAACGGATAATTTCGGCTCCGGTCTTTCGCCAGACAAAACTACGGAGAGTTTGACTGGCACAGTACCGCGGCACGGCCGTCCCAGGCCTGGTTTGACTAAGCCTCGTCGACCAGTTGTCAGGTGACATTATCATGTCAGTTACCCAAACCAATACGACCGTTGTGAGTAACGAGTAAAACATCTTTTCCCCACACAACGGAGGTGGCTGACATACGACCATTTGCTGACAATATTTGCGATATACCCATATGCCTCACGAGCATCTGTCCTGCCAGTAGCCAGCGTAGCTGCGCACTGCTTTTGAGTGAAAATTGCTATGATTTGTGTTCAATAATAATCATCATAATGCACATTTTGAACGGATGCCATCACCAACCGCATATTCACCACGCCAGGCCGAGTTTATGCATTTGTTTCCAGTTTTACTCATCTGCGATTCAGACAGTAGTATTAGCCTTATTCCTCGGAGAAAAACCAGGGGAAGGGAGATACAGTTGGGTTGACATTTCGGCAACATGCCTTTAACGAAACAATAGCAGAAGTGAATTCGAAATTGCCTGCCGATGGTCCTACTCGATTTTTAGTTTTTCGAAAAAGCAAGGCACAGTTTTCACAAGACACCAACTCCGAACGAGAAAACATTATTCTGGAGACACTGTTCTAAAAGACCGCGGATATCCTCTTTCAGTAGACCGAAAGCACCAATTTCATGTAAATGTTTGTGACTTAGCTTTCACGGCAGCGATAGCGTCATTGACTGGTATATTGCCATATAAATTGGCATCTTTACTGAAGAAAACGCTATGTTCTGGTAACCCTTCTGCCTGTGAATGATTAGAAGCCCTTTTTAAAAAGCCTCTGGTGTCCCACAGATGAGTGGGATACCAGAGACTTTTAAAAGAAGTGCTAATGACAAAAAAACATTGCAACAACTTATCGTTTGGACTTGGCTTTTCAGCTCTCGAACATCACGCTGAAGAAAGTCTTCAACCAAGTGGCCTTTTATGTTTGTCATGCCCCGTTGCTGGGCGTAGGCACGTTTTCTATTCTCTCCTCGATGAACACTACTCCACTATTTGAAGACTGCCGAAAGACGGGCATTCGTGACTCCCGTTCTCTTGTACTGGTTCTTCGCTATGCTAGCGTTTTCAGTTCCATTCCACACCCTACACAAGCGGTGGTCAAATCTTTGCCGCGGCTTGACGGCAGCCAATCCAATTCGAATTTCAGGATGCGTTATAACCCAATACGCGAGCGCGCTACGCGTAACATCAAATACACGACCCCATGCCCTACACCAACAATTGTTTCGGATGCACTGCAAGCGCTGTACTCCGACAACCAAAAAGTTCACATGCTCCATCGAAGTACAATAGTTTTCAAACTCTACTCCTGCCAACTCTGATATCCCCAATCAACTCGGTCAGACACTACCGCGACATAGCACGCCAGAGACGTAAACGACCCGGCCCCGCGACGACCGAAGGCAGACAACTCGCACATGAAACGCGAGTACATTGGCTATGCTGCGACGCGCCCGACTCGGCGGCACTGCCTCGCACATCCCCACGGTGCCCGCCCTCCGTCCACACGGTTGTCGGCCGCCGGTTACCGACCGTCACACTCGGACACCGGTCAGCCACCGTCACACACGCGGCTCGGCGCAGCACGTCTTGCTGACACGTCCGCATCATCGCATGTGCTCCGTCACAGCCCGCGCCATTTGCCGTCTTGGGGCGTCACTAATGCGTAGGCTTGCGTGCTCTCGGATCCGTGCGCTGTGAGTGAACTATAGCCAGCAGACCCTGCGGTCACTTGTCTCCATCCTCGAGCGAGTTGTTGTACGGGCAACGCTGTCTGACATACCGGCATGGACACGATGAGGGGTCAGTGCAAATACCGCTGATGATAGCTCCTGTAGTGAGAGGGTGGGAGGCTAGGCACTTACCGCCCAGGACGCCGCCCATTCAGACAGGTACGCCACTGCGTGGCATGACACCATCAACGCTTTACCCCCATAAGGACCAGGTAAACGAGGCTAGAATGGCAGCCGGAAACGCTGCCCAGGCAACGCAACGTGCCTCCATGGCCAAGATATCCTATATGGTGTCCTATGCATCCTGCAGGCGATTAGGTGTACCACTCAAATGTCATTTTTGTAGAACGCCGACATTATGAGAATGGACGGTATCTTTCCAGCCCAAACCGATACCGAATAGCGGAAATGAGTATCTTTTCGGCCCAAACAGATACCGAATAACGGATTTTTTTTTTAATTTTTCAATATCCAGTTCATTCGATCTCGCCGTGACGCTAGTCGGGAATGCTGCCAACAATGACAGAACCCAACAAGTGTTGTCATATGTGCGGCATGATTATTTACGCACACTTAGCGTTCTGCATCAAAACCAAGCTTCACAGAAGCATGCCAGCGTTTACAACAAATGTCTGGCAAAAATGAGTTATGAGGAAACAGCGACATTTTCTGGGTTCGAATTAATTTGTTTACGGTGAGCTCGATCCTTTTGATGCAAATATCACAAGTACCTTGTTGGGTGTGGTGTTTCCATTTTCAAAGCAAGGACATGAGGGATATCCGGCTACTTATAGGTGCTCTGTCCTTGAAGTCGTAGCGTATCTCGAAAAAAAATAGCGTGACAGGCCCGTGGCGAGCGCCGTTTGAATACAACTATGGGCGGAAGGAGCACATGTAAATACATTATTAAATATGCCATGACCGTTGCGGTACGAATGCCATCCAATAGTTAACAGAAACTCGAAAATATCAGAGTATGCATGCTTTACAAGAACCCGATTTGGATAACGGAGACCAAAGACGTGGCTATACGTGAGTTTGGATCATATTAACATGTGACGCTTGAACTGATAGTCACCGAACGTGCCTGTGCATTACTGGTTACAACCCGAGCACATAACAGAAATCCCGCCAATAACGGTCTGAAGGTGGTTACACAGAGCCCCTCTCCCACTCCTCCATCAGAAGTTTGAACTTGGCGCGCGTCCCCTGACCTCCAGGTCGTTACGCCTTGTGCACGGTGAGATTACGCAGGGAGTCGACACTAAGCAGTCAGTTCGTTCAGGCGCAATCACCAGCAGCATAATAGCGCGAGCGACAGTGTCCTGCCGTCGACCGCATGTTGGAAGGACGCAGTTTGATATGTGGTCCGCTCAAGTGGAGTTGCTTCCCCCTCCCCCCCCCCCACCCCCGTTGAATGGATGCCGGGCGACGTTGGACCCATCCACTCAGCCGGCACCAGCCCGTAACAGCACATTTGGCCGGTGGACACCGAGGGACAGGAAGAGCGTTAACGATGGCCAGTAGCGGACCGGAGGGCGTCGAGCTGTGCGCATGACATAAATACCGAAATGCACCAAAAACGACCCCAGCAGACTGACAGAGCAATGTCCACATTGTCTGCCACCCATCCGGCGAACATTGCTGGAAGTCGTGTACGGCAGCAGACGAAGAGCAGCAGTTCTACCGCTCGGTGGCCTCTACATGCCCCAGGGAATCGATCGACCAGCAAAACAAAAACAAAAACAAAAGAGTGACCCGCTTTCAATACTCGTGGACGAAAACATAAGGGATGCATATGGTCATGCATCCTGCACAGCTATTACAGATCCAAATGAGACGTAAATGAGGACTTAACACCCGGGCGGCAGAATCTGATCAGCTACTTATGATTCTTCTTCAGTTAAGATGTCACTTATCACTAAAGGCTTAGCGATAAGATTTCTAGGGCACGTAAAAACGGTATGGAAAATGTATTAAATCCCTTTGACATGCGGCAACAGTCACGTACCAACGTGGTGCTCGCAATCATATCATCGTGTTACACAAAAGTTTAAAATAGGCCGTTGTTAATACCAGATATAACTGCTAACAAGTACGCAATATTACTTTTCTGGGTATAACGACAGACCAATCAGCATTGGCTTCTCAATAACCATGCAAGAACCAAGAACTTTTCGACAGCCACTTTTAATTTGGGAGAAAACCTTTGAAACGGCTTTGCCAAAGTAGCTGGGACCACTTTTGGTGGTGCTGATATCTACTCTTATCCCACACTCCGTAATGAAATATCGTCGCGGCGTTTTTGTTCCGACTAGCGGGTCACCGATAGGTGGCTCCAGCATGCGTGGTTGAGTATAGCATATATATATATATATATATATATATATATATATATATATATATATGGTGTGTGGTTATAACTGGATATGTTTACGGTTTTTTTACAATGTTTATGGTGAACAGTGTTGTCAGTATCCAAACTATAACTAAGCGATCGCTATCGTTACCACCATCTGTTCACTGATGGCAGATAAACCAACGGGTCACAGAATGGCGTCACCGCTCTCCGCGGTGTTTACGGAGAGCTACCTCGACCAGATATAATATATACTGTGCAGCC